ATTAGTGTTGTTGAGCACTTATTCATACCTGTTGGCCATTTGTATACCTTCTTTGCAAAACAAAATTTATTCAGGTCCCATTTTTAACTGGGTTATTTGGTTTGGGATTTTTTGTTTGTTTTTGTTTTGTTTTGTTTTGTTTTGTTTTTGTTTGTTATTTTGGCTACTCAGTTAAATTAGTTTCTCATATATTTTGGATATATGGTTTACAAATATGTTCTCTCATTCAATAGGTTACCTTTTCATTTGATTATTATTTTGTTGTGCAGAAGATTTTTAGTTGGGTACATTTCACTATTGTGCTTTGGCTTTTGTTTCTTATGCTTCTGGTGTCATATTCAAAATATCATTGCCAAGACCAATGTCAAAGAAATTTTTCCCTATGTTTTTCTCTCAGAGACCTATGGTTTTAGGTCTTATGTTTAAGTCTTAATCCATTTTGAGTTAATTTTTGGTGGGTGGTGTAAGATAGGGATCCATTTTCATTTTTCTGCATGTGAATATCTAATTTTCCCAGTGCCATTTATTAAAGAGACTATCCTTTTCCCATTGAGTAGTTTTGACTTTCCTATCAAATATCAATTGATTGCATACTCATGGTTTATTTGTGTTTTTTAAATTAATTAATTTATTATTAACTTATTTTTTATTTGAATATAGTTGACACACAATGTTACATAGTTTCAGGTGTACAACAAAGTAATTCAACTTCTCTATACATTATGCTATGCTCCCCACAAGTGTAGCTACCATCTGTTACCATACAATGTTATTACAACATCATTAACTATATTCCCTATGATGTACATTTTATTCAAGTGATTTATTCATTCCATAACTGGAAGCCTGTATCTCCCACTCCCCTTCACCCATTTTGCCCATCCCTTCTATCCCCTTTCTTCTGGCAACCATCAGTTTGTTGTCTGTATTTATAGGTCTGATTCTGCCTCACACGTGGTTTATTTATGAGCTCTTGATTTTGTTCAGTTGGTCTATGTATCTGTTTTTATGCCAGTTCCATAGTGTTTTGATCACTATAGCTTTGTAACATAATTTGAAATCAGGAAGTGTGATGCCTTCAGCTTTGTTCTTTCTTAGGATTTCTTTGGGTATTGCAGGGAAGGGGGTGGTTTTCTGTGATTTTTTTTTTATTTCTATGAAAACCAGCATTGGAAAAAAATGAGAGACATGCCCCCCAGACTGCCACTGTAAGTGAATGTGAGCTTCAACATCTCAGATTCGCTGTCGCTTCATGTAAGACCAGGGACCTCTTGTAGATACCTGAGCTCAAACTCATCCTTCAGAAATGTAATCTCTAATTTAGGACTTCAAAATCTGTAGAAACTATGTCTAAACCCTATTGTTATAACATAAAGAGTCCTTTGGTTGCTAATTTATTCAGTCATGAAACCAGTCCTTGCTGATACTTAGCAGGTCTAGTGCTCAACCTTGGGAATTCAATGATGAATAAGGAAGACAAAATCCTTGTCCTCACAGAGCCTTACACATTCTAGTAGGAGTGATATACTACAAATAAGTAAATAAATGACTATAAAATTCCAAGTTATGTTATGTGTTGTACTGATGTCCACCAGTCAAAGACCACTGGAAATACACTCACATGAAGTTAGGTTAATTGATACTGGAGATCTCATTCTTTGGGAAATCATGTGGCCTCTCAATAAGAGGGTTTAAGACTTAGGCTTGTGCTGAGTGCTTTGGGGAATATTCCAGAAGTATAGTTTTCTCTGGTTTGGGTGTTATCAAAAAGCAAGGGCAATTCTGCTTAGGTATTATAATAGTTTTCATCCAGGAAGTAGAAGAACAGGGCAAAATTAATGCAATAGTTGCTAAAGAAGCAGCGATCACTCAAATTATGTGGTAAAGGAGGATGTTTGATCATTTTTGTGGTTTATAGTGCTCTTGTTTTTGTTTTGCTCTGACATGATTTCCTCAGAGTAGGCTTGTTGATTGTCTTTTGCCATCACAGTTAGAGTGACCCAGTCTAAAGTTTTAGTTCAGTGAAATTGTTAGTGTTTAACAGGAGAAACCTGAGGCCAGGTCCCAGGTGATGGCTGTCATTGACTTTATTTTTTCTTTTTCAAATATTCAAAAAAAATAGAGCAAGTGGAGATATTGACTCATGAATGAAGGTTATTTAAGACAGGATATACATAAGTGCAGAGATCTGATTGCTGTGAAGAAATAAACCATGAGAAGGCCCGGAAACGACCGTAACAATTAAAATAACGGTTGAGATGTTGTATCAACGAGGTTAAAAAATACAGTGCCCTAAGTTAGAATGCATTTCTCTGTCAAGTAACAGTATGGCTAGCCCCGGATGGTGAGGCAGCTTTTCCACACAAAGTTGTTTAAGGATTAAGCTCTATCAATCAATGCCATCCTCAAGAAAATGCTATTCATTTGTGAGGCTAAAATCAATTCATATTCAAGACATAAAACATTAGGAAAAAAGTTTAGGGAATGAAGTTTCTGTTTAAGTTATAAAGACCCACCAGTTGAACACACCTTTTTTCCACTCAATATCCCATTGGCTTCAACTTAACCATCCTTACCTACATGTAGTCTCTAGCTGGGTGTTTTCAAAGGCTCATATGGGATAGAAGATCAGGATGTTGAGGGTTTCAAGACAGTGATTTTAGTTTTGGCTCACAAAATCTAAGCCAAGTAAATTGCAAAGTAAGGCCATAAGCAAAAGGTATTAAGAGTGAAGGAAGTTGAAATAATGGATTTGTCAGAGTGAGAGTGTTAGGTTATACGAACTGGAGTGAAAAGATGATGTGTAGAGTGTAGAATGCTTATAATTGAGATTTTGGAGAGGTTGAAGGTATTGGTAGTAAAAGTTCTATGGCATGACCATAAAGTGATTGATGATGAACAGGATAGAATTTTTTTTAATTTTTTTTTTTTTTTAATTTGAGAGAGAGAGAGAGAAAGAGAGAAAGCAGGGAAGGAGCAAAGGGAGAGAGAAAGAATCTTAAGCAGGCTTGAAGTCCATCGTGGAGCCCAGTGTGGGGCTCAAACTCAAGGCTATGAGATCATGATCTGAGCCAAAATCAAGAGTCCAACACTTAACCAATTGAGCTACCTAGGCACCTCTGGATAAAATGTTTATTACTGAAAGTATAGATGTCAGGAGCTAAGAAGGGATATTATTGGATGGCTCTTGTGCATGTATGTGGAAATCCTCAAGGATATTGGATGAAGCGAGTAATTAAGACATCAGTAGTTGCTGAAAACAGAGGATTCACATGAAATTGTGTTATGCTCTGTAGTTTTTGAAAGAGAAAGAAAAAAAATGATATGAAAGTGGCCAGAAGAACTGCTAAATATAGGGTGTTATAAATATATTCCAAGCTCCATTCTAAGCATTTTATGTGTATGAGACCATTTTGTCCCCCTCCAAACCCAATTATTATTCATATTTTATAGTTGAAGAAACAGAGGTTAAAGTTGTCCAAGGTTATTAGTGAATAGTGGGGCTGAATCTGACATCCTGACTCAAGAGTATGCACTCTTTTTTTTTTTAATATTTATTTATTTTTGAGAGAGAGAGAACTCGCACCAGGGAAGGGCAGAGAGAGAGGGAGACAGAGGATCTAAAGAAGGCTCTGTGCTGAAAGCAGGGAGCCAGATTTGGGGCTTGAACCTCACAGACTGAACAGTGAGATCATGACCAGAACCAAAGTCAGACGCTTAACACACTGAGCCACCCAGGCTCCCCTAGAGTAGTACTCTTAATTACTGGGAAGTAAATTTTATCTTAGGATCAGTGTCTTTGGTACTTTTTAATGTTGAAGCTGTTAAGATGGTGAAAGATGGTTGGCTAGCAGTCATTAGAAGTCATGGTTTTACCAGAAAAACTCAGAGACTCGGGCTGTTGCTGTATCCTACTGAGTGAGGGTTTAGCCTAGGCAATCTTATCAAAGGTACATGAAGTTCTGAAGCCTCCTTCATTCCACAACTTAAATCCTGATATTTTTCCTCTTGGATGACTATGAACTAGGTTGCAGCCCTGTGAGGAGAGGACTTTCAAGGCACTTACAAGAGTGAGAACCTAAAAACCCACAGCTATTGGCAGAATGTATAGACCGTGAGGGCGTATGAGTCCGTAAGTATGGTCTTAAACGAAATTTATGAGGAATTATTTCAAGTATTCCTTCTGGCTCAAACATGTTTTCTACTTGGAAAAAAACAATAGTCACACAAATTCCTCAATGAATTGAAAACTAAAGTTATCATTTACTGTATCAAAGTGTGTGTGGGGGAAGTCAGTAAAGGTAACTCTTCTAATGGAAGTGCATTTTCGGAGAAACGTGGTTCTGATGGATCACTGCTTTTTACTAGCCATTAAGTTTAGTTAACAGAAAGACAAATGCAGCTGAAGATCATTCATTAAGATAGGCATAATTGACAATAGTTCATTAATCATCCTTTTAAGATGATCCTATTTTATCACTATTACCTGCCCCATATCTGAGAGAGTTATGTGAGTCTTGAAAAGAACATGTAGTTCTCTCAATTAAATATATATATATATAACAAATAATAAAAGAAGTACTATTACTTTGTTTTGGGTTTATGCTGTATAGGTTAGACTTTGCCATAGGACTCCATTATAATCCTTCATAATTTGGTTTAAAATGTCGAACATTTTGGGGCACCTGGGTGGCTCAGTCAGTTAAGCATCCGACTTCGGCTCAGGTCATGATCTGACGGTGCGTGAGTTTGAGCCCCACGTCGGGCTCTGTGCTGTCAGTCCAGAGCCTGGAGCCTGCTTCAGGTTCTGTGTCTCCCTCTCTCTCTACCCCTCCCCCGCTCACACTCTGTCTCTATCAAAATAATGAATAAATGTTAAATTTTTTTTTAAATGTCCAACATTTTGACTGTTTAAACAAACCACTAAGTGCTTTGCAAAATTACAACACATTCTTTATGTGACTTAATTAATATCTACTCCAATTATACACAACACATTATCATGCTCAAGATCTAGATTTATTTTAAAACATTTAGTCCAATTTATATTAACGCAGAAAAATCACATCCAATAAACCACGATAGTAAGAAGAGACACAATAGTTGTGTACTGTCACATTACCACACAAGTATAACTTGATATTTAAGTGAAGGATTATAAATCACAATCACATATAAATAAAATATTTATCGTCTCAGTAGTAGTAAGAACCTCTTTTGAGTATGTAGGGTCTTCTAGGTTTATTCTCATATAGCTGACGTTTCAGAATGTAAGGGATTTTTCTCTTTATAACTTCTTCCTTTTCATTTTTGTCATTTCCAGCATCAAGAACATCCTCCTGAATTAACTGCAAGAGAGGCAGAATATGAATCAAACTTACATGTGGCATGTCTTTCAGGGTATTTTGCTATATTTCATCTCATTTGCTATTCAGACAGTAAGACATACATGGATAAGATATATGAGGTTTAAGACAATTAAATGTTTTGTCCAAGGACAGATGACTGTCAACTGAGACGGGATGAGAACGTGGTTTTTCTGATTCTCTGTTCAAGGCCATACACTGATACCTCCAACTGAAGCAACATAACTAGTACATCTTCGAGTATGTTTCAGGCTTTAATTTTTGATAGAGAGACTAAAATGTTATGAAAATATATCATAAATCACAACACACATAGAGTTTTGAATTCAGTAAGTCATGTTTGGCCTTAAAAGGCAATAGGATTTTATATTTCTTGAAGTTAATTACTGACTTGTCTTGAAAATCATTCCAAAGATCCATTTCTCAGTCTCAGAGAGAGGACTGTTTGCTCTGCTTAGCTTAGTTGTTGTAGAAATTAACACATGTGAAACAGTAAAGGTCTCTTTAGATTGTGGTGCTTAATAATTAGAAGCAAATTCAGATTCAGTAACGTTAGGGAGTTCATCTCCATGTAGAATCTTACCAAAATCTCATTAAATATGCCACATTCTAACATTAGTTCTGAATACTTCTTTCTGGTATAGTTGTGATTCACAAATTTCAGCTAGCAGAAAATATTTAGAACTCTTCCCAGAATTTTGCGCATAATTTATGTGAAATTAAAAAAAAATGTTCAAGATAAAAATTGTATTTGTACTTGTGATTATCCTCTAAACTTTAGGGTCATTATAAGAAAACTAACAGGAGGTTAAGTTTTTAATTTTAATGCATATGAACTGAATCCTATCACCAAGTACTTTATTTCAACCCACAGCTATTCAGTTTCAGAGAAGGAAAACGAACTACTGTTAGACAACCTAATTTCTTAATTGCATGTTTGTCTGTGAACATAATCTATAATTTGTAGTATGTTCTAAATGATATTATAGTTTTTGTTTTAAATCGCTCAATAACATTTAAAATAGCAAAAGTTCTAATCTTATGAGCACCTGATTTGTGTGTATAATAGTTATTGAGTTGTTGTTGTTTTTAATCCCTGGATAAATAGCACACAATTGACACTTCCCTATGTTAAAATTAGCATTTTTCAAGTTTTATGGACTTAAACAATATTTTGAAGACTAAGTTATTTAGCTGGAATTAGAATTAAGAGATGAGTAGTAAAATTAAACCTAGCTTTTTCGGTCTTTCATCTAGAAAACATCTTTTTGTCTGCAAGTTAGAATAAACACTAGAAGTTCTGTCTTGCATTTCTTCTTTTCCACAAGGTATTTTTGTGATAGTCGTATATAAGGATTGTTATATTAGCAGCAAAGACACCAATGTTGGTGTTAACCCAAAATATAAAAGATGAAGCAAATCTCTCTTAGAGATTAATATGAGAGAAATGGTTTCCTTGTTGGGAAATTTATTTTTTTACTTACCTATTTAAATGTTTATTCAAGAGAGAGAGCGAGGATAAAAGAAAAAGCAGAAAGAGAGAATCTCAAGCAGGCTCTGAGTTATCAGCACAGAGCCCAATATGGGGCTCAAACTCAGAACTCACAAAACATGAACCAAAATCAAGAGTCGGAGGCTCAAGCACCTGAGCCACCCAGGTGCCTCCCCACCTTTGTTGGGAATTTTTTTTTTCTTTAAAGCATTTTCATTTCTGCCGCACCTGGGTGGCTCAGTTGGTTGGACGTCCAACTTTGACTCACGTCTGATCTCACCCTTCATGAGTATGAATCCGGCATAGGGCTCTGTCCTGACAGCTCAGAGCCTGGAGCCCCCTTAAAGATTCTGTCTCCCTCTCTCTCTGACCCTCCCCCACTCTGTGTCTCTCTCTCTCAAAAATAAATAAACATTTAAAAATAAATGAAAAAAATAAAGCATTTCATTTCTCTTTCCCTCCTTCAAAGTAACACATATTCTAAAACCAAAGGCAATAAATCACTAGTATGGCCTTAAATACAACTGACTCATCCACTACTTAAGTGTAGTTGTGTATAATGGATTTGGCTGTCTTGACTGTTAGTGGACCTAATTTAGAGGCTGAAGATGCCTGAAATCCATGTATTCAACTGAAATAGGAATATATACATACATGGATTTTTTCCAGTTTTATCTGCTTAATATATTCAAATACAAATCGAAACTTTGTGTTTTATGTTTTGTGTTTGTTTATAGATAATACACATGACTTCGTGTTTCTAAGAACACATTTTGAGTCCTTAAATTTTGTAGGCACACCACCGCCACAAATTGCCTGAGTATGCCATTCGTTTAAGCACAATAAAAGCATGTGGATCAAATCTGCCTTAGGATATTACTCCCCCCCTTTTAAGACTGAAGTAATAATATTTTGCCAAACTCCAAATATTTGAAGGACACTTTGAAGATCTGAAGGAATGTTAACCTCAACACATGGTTTATTCTTCTTTAATATTTGTAAGTCTTCCTGTTATGATAATGATCGCAGTGAAAAAAAATCAGTACAAATGAGAGCTAACTAGTATAACGATAATTATATTCATATTTTGTTTTTGCTTTACCTCCCAGTGTTGAAAGGCCCTGCTGTGGCAGATTTTTTGGAGCTGGTATATTGTCAACATCGCTTCCAAGCTAAAGCCGTCTAAGGCAGTGGGAAATTTCCTTCTTGTAATAAACTCGTCTTCTTGAAGCTCCCCTGTTTCCTCAGCTTGGCTGTTCAGGTTATTTACAAAACTGCAAACATTTAGAAGGGTCATTTTCCAAGAAGAAACACCTGCTTTATTGGTCTGAAATATAGAAAAAAACAGGTACTTAAAATTTTAAAAAGTAGGTAATTAAATCTTGTGTCATATGGATAAGAAATGAATTTCCATTGTGCGAAGCCATTACATTTTAGGGCCTCATGTTACTCCAGCCTAATAAACACACTGTTATCAGTTTAGTAACTTTACATCGCAGAATTGATTAGTGCCAATTCCTCATACATTCTATTTTTTAAAATGTAATACAGTTATACACAGGCACACATACATAAGCAAAGCAAAAATTTTGAAATAATAGTGAGTGTAAATGTATAAATATATATGTATGCATCACAGATAAAATTTTAAAAATACCAAATTTACCAGAGTTTAGTGTCTAATGGAGCATGGACTATGATGATATTAATAGATTTGCACAATTACAATAATGCAGGATCACTAATCTATTCCATACATTGATAATTCTCATAAACAGCAACACAGCTGATCAATTTATTTATTTTCAAATAATAATATTTTCTAGAATTACTATTTTTTTCTAATAGGATAGGGTCTGAAACCACTATTTTAATCAATAATTTTCCTGTGTGCCAATAGTAATAAACAAGGAAACATAAGGACTTAGGAGAAACTAAATGTGAAATAAGAAAAAATAACAAAAATTGCAAAGGGCATAGATGAAGGAAAGCATACATTTCTCTTAAAGACACACACACACACACACGTACGTGAATGACCACACAACCACGATGGGAAGATTCAATAACAATACTATCATATGTCAACTCTCTCTGAATTATTCCCCAACTGTAATGCAATTGCAAATCAAAGTTCCAATTTGGAAAATATGGGAAGACTGGAATTTGGCGGTAGGGATTTGGCAAAGTAATTATAATGTTAATTTGGAAGTATGAATGTGTGAGCATAAGCAAGAAGATTTGGAAAAATAAAAATGTAATGAGGGGGAACTTACTCTACCAGTTAGTGGAATTTATTTCAAAGACTCAGTAATCAAAGGAGAGAATTAATAAAACAAGAGTAAACATTAAACCCAACAGAAGAAAATATAATATCCCCCAAATTAGTCCAAATACAAATGAGTTTATAGCATACAGCAAAGTTTGCATTTGAAATCCTTGGGACAGTAGGCTATCAGGAAACCTGGACTTACATCTACTTATAACTTTATTGACATATAGTAGTCTAACAATATGCAGATGGGTTAAATATGAGTAAAAATAAAATAATGTGTAAATTATACAGAATTTACTCTATAAACCTAGATTATTAAGCAAATATCCAAACCATGATCCACAAAGAAAAGGATAACTTTAAACACATAAATGTGTAAAACATCTCTGGAAAATTAACAGCCTGAACTAACACCAGAAGCAAGCTATACGGTAAAAGCTGCCACAAATATTAATATCCTTAACACAGGTAGAGCTCTTCAAAAAGAAACTGTTGAATCCACAAATTAAAAAAAAATAATAAAAATAAAAATTTTAAACCTTGGATAAGTGATATAAGTAAACAAGTCACAGATCACTCATCAAAGAAGAAATATGTGGAAAGAACTTGGCCACCATCAGCTCAGAAGACTTTCAAAGGCTAGGTACATTTGTTAGTGTAGTTATAGGGACATGGAGAAACAGACACTTCCTTTTCTAAATATTTGTTGATCTGGGTGTAGATTGTTATAACTTTTTGAAGGATGTACTGCATTAAAATTGAAAACATGCACGCACACCCTTTGATTAAGCTTTTATCCTAAGAACATGCAAATATATGAGTATAAATATATTTACTTGAAAATATTATTATGATATATAATAATGTAATATACAATGGTTTTAACCAGTTTGGAAATACTTTCCACTATGCTCCTTGAATACGATTTTCCAGCCATTGCTTAAACTTTTCTGATATGGGAAACTTAGAGACAACATGCTCCATTATCTGGCAGCAACGCCTTATATCATACCAATTAATGGAATACCTTAATTTTACATTTTCTTCTTCTTTTTATTTTTTAAATGTTTATTTATTTTTGAGAGAGACAGAGTGAGCACAGGGGAGGGGCAGACAGAGAGGGAGACACAGAATCTGTAGCAGGCTCCAGGCTCTGAGCTGACAGCGAGAAACCATGAGATCATGACCTGAGCCGGAGTCCCATGCTTGACTGAGCCCCTAATGGAGGGCTTTCTAAAGTGTACTTCTTAGAACACTAGTTCTGCACTCACTATTTTTAAAAGAGTTCCACTGTCAAGTAAATTGGAAAACTTGAATTTAAAGGAAATGTAAAGATTCCTTGAATGTAGGTATCCTCAGAGCCTTTTACTTGCAAATATTCATTGTAACTTTCTAATGGAGTCAATACAGTGTCAAGAGTTTCCCAAACTAATTTGACCACAGAAAGCTTTATTCATAAAGTCCAGTCAGGCAGGACTAATGTTATCTGATTCTTTCTTTTCCTTCTTTCTTTCTTTCTTTCTTTCTTTCTTTCTTTCTTTCTTCTTTCTTTATTTCTTTCTGAGGAAACTGAATTAATCATCTCATTTCTTTCTGCTAGTTAAAATAGTCACTACATGACTCAATAATACTATTATTTAAAGTCACATTAAAAGCACAGCTGAGAAAGTATGACTGGCTGAAGAATGTGTAAATAGATAGACATCATGTATTTGAGAACATTTTCTGTAAGGTCTCAACCATTTCGTTCAGAAAAATGGTAAAGACTCTCTTTCCTAGAATCAGGCTCTTCTAAGTCCACTTCTTGACTAGTTCCCAACCTCGGGCTCAGTCCTTAATCCACTTAGCCCAATTTTAGCAAGAATCTTGCTGAGCCTGTTTACTGCAAATGCCTCACCCATGGTATCTGATCACCCTAGATATCTGACCAAATATCAGATACTTGATGAAATTTCTGGCCCTAATATCACAATCTTGTGTCTTCTAGCAAGACTCCTTCTAGCCTTAATGTTTCCTCTTATTCCATCCACTGACCCCCACTCTGTTTCTTGGCTATAAAGGCACACTTGCCATTGTTGTATTTGGAGTTGAGCCCAGTCTCTGCAAAACTCCCATTTCAGTAATTCCTCTTGAATAAAGTCTTCTCTATTATGTTTAGCTAGTGTCATGAATAATTTTTCTTTAACAATAAACATTCTTACTTATTACATTATTTTATACAAATGTTTATAATAGACCTAAGCCTATAGATAAGAAATTTAGAATATCATCCCTTCTTTTCAAGATAAGGAAAATGAGAATATTTGTGGTTCTTACTTACCATTACTTGATTTTAACTCTTTAATACTAAATAAGATTCTGGTCAAATTTTTGTTACCTTAATTAAATAGTAGCTAATCCATAAGACGCAGATTTATCCCCTGTAATACACTGAACTCAGATAGTCCAGCAAATTGTGAATTCAAGCATTTCACAGAATTGAAAATAATTAAAGTCATCTGTGGTGAAGCTCTGAAGTTTTAGAGTTGAATACAAAATGTGACGGTTAATAATGGATCCTAGATTCCCACTGTTAGTTCAAAAATATTTATTAAACTCCTACTGTATACAAGGCATTAAATTTGATCATAGGAAATTACAACATTATAGCAGCTTTTTGAGATCCTGAAGAAAACATCCTGTACCAGGTTGTCTTTCTGAATAGAACAATAGGAAAGTACTAGCACTGGTAATAAAGAGAACCCTATTGTGAGAAAAAAAAAATATCTTCCACTTTTTAAGCTTTGGGCTCTCTCTCAACCTTCTGTTGCTTAAGCAAATTTTCACATTAATATTTTAATGTCTAAATAGCTTTACTTCACAAGTGAAATTCTTCACATACTTTATTTTTAAAATGGAAAGAAGAAACCTGAAGCTTTCTGAAGCTGTTCATAATGGAGTTAGTTCTACCAATATCAATTATTATTCTCTTAAATTTTTAAATGTAGTAGTTTAGTTAAAATGCTCATAAGTTTGGGGTTTCATTTGCATAGAATGCTACACACACCAAAAATCAATTGAGTCAAGGAGAAAGAAATGATAGTAGTTCTGTAAAACATAAGGAATGAGCTTTTTGTTCCCATCCTAACAGCAAAATTGAAATAATTATGCTTCTTGGTGCTTTCTCATTATAGACTGTATTTTGCTTATTTCAATTGAAAGGAGGCAATGGGATTCAATTTTCATTCCATGATCTGTTTAGAGACATATTCCAAGATTAAATAAAAGAGAAAAAATTTATTATGCCTGTATTTTTATGTATTTATTTTTTAATTATTATTATCATTATTATTTTTATTTTTGAAGGAGAGAGAGAGACAGAGCATGAGCAGGGGAGGAGCAGAGAGAGAGGGAGACACAGAACTCAAAGCAGGCTCGGCTCGAACTCACAAACCGCGAGATCATGACCTGAGCCGAAGTAGGATGCTCAACCGACTGAGCCACCCAGGCGTCCCACTTATGTATTTCTTTTTAAAAGAAAAACTAACCCACTCCATAAATTGGGAGTGTTTTCCCCTTGCAACTCTAGGGAAGGAATCACAACTCTACTTTCACATTTTCACAAGGTAGCTTTCGGGGATTATTTAGGACTTTGATGTGTCTGTGTAAATTTAGAATTACGGAGGTGACATCTCTACTGTGAAATTAAGTCGTTTCCTAACCTTCCCCATTTTTAAACATAGACGATTTACTTCACTTGTCTTCCTATTTTGGGGTGATATCATTGTCACCATTGCTCTTCTGACTGAGTATTCAACAAAGGATCCATTGTCTTAAGGTTATTATTTGGTTATTGAGGTTTAATGACTAAACTAAATCTGATCATTCCTGATATGAAAGCTACCAAATTAAGAAAATATTTGGTGTCAGTCCATTCAGCTTTTGTAGATCTGGGCAATGGTGAAAATATATGCACTTAAATTTTCCCCAAATGTCTTTTAAGGATCATAGCTGACAATGTATCTTTGTTAGATTTCAGATGATAATACCCCCACACTCCCAAATACTATTTCCCCTTATACCCACATAATTCTACAAATATAATAGGGATTGTTGTACCTGGAATGTGCTCACTCAGTTAAGGAAGAGAAATCTGAAGTACAAGACCTGAGTTGGGGTATTGCTTCAGAAATTAGACAGAACGTCTGAGCACTTACTTTCTTACCATAACATCTGTCGAATCCTCTGCCTTAATATCCTAGGGCTATAACAGTGATTGAACCAGGGGTCTGCCTCAATTCAAAATTTATTTTTCTTTGAGAAACATCTTTTGGTTGAGAACCCGGTTCTCTATTTCTGCCTTTAGATACCCACTAATTGACTCACTCTGGGGAAATCAGCACTGTGTGGTAGCATGGTAATCACGTATATTGTAATTGTGTTTTATTCCTAAGTACAGATTGGAATCTAGGCACCTTGTTTTCAAGACCCCAAGAGAGGAATAAAAGGGTCCAATATACAAAGTCTCAGTTGGTTCAGTAACAGCAATGAGCAGGTGTAGATGACACTTCTGTTATAGGGAGAATGTAAATCTAGGCACGGATTTGATGTAAATGTGAGATCATAAACTCCAACCCTTAAAAATAAGGAAGCAAAGGCAAGCGATGTTAACTAACCCCCTTATTTAAGATCAGATGGTTCATAAGTCACAGTTGCAGGATCAGATCTCCAAGCTTCTGTTTGCCAGTCTATTGATCTTTAGGCTCTACCACATTTCTTTCATGAATTGTCATGAACTTTCATTTTTGATTTAGAACTCCATTTTACTGTTGCCAATATAACAAAAAAGGCTAAAATGTCACTTAGCTTTCATGTATATACTTAACTTGAGGCATACCCTTTGCCATACACGATGTGATAGGAATGGAAACAGGATTCCTTTAAATACATTTTCATCTCCACATAAACAATATGTGACAACTTAATTAAAGTTGCAATATACTGATTGATAGTCACTATAATTTCTGTCCCTGTCACATCAACACCCTTAACTCTTTTGAACTCTAGGAAAATTTTCTGAAAAAGTAAATGCCTGTCTATGAACTTTTTAGTCTTGATGGGAAGTTATTAACTATAGGAAAAGGACACCATGTTTATAATAAGAGCTTACAGGTTTTTCAATCCTTGGTTAAAGAAAAAAAAAAGTTACCTTTGATGTATGCATATTGGTCAATAAATCTGCTTCTAATGCTTTCATTTCCTCTTCTGAATCTGAGTAAAATGAAAACCACATGTTTACTATATAATCATAGATAATTATATTGTAACCTACAGACTTTAGATTAATCTCAAAAAACTAGTCTTAGAGGCTTATTGTTTTCCTATGTATTTACTATCCTTAAAATAATATTCAAAAAATAATTATGGTTTTATTCTGGGCTAACCGGCAGCTAGAATAATAGAAGCACTTATAAGAAGATAAACACTTGATTATATGCCAAGAGAACTATTGATGTATTGAAGTTGTTTAATCACTAAATCTCAGTATTTAAAAAAAAAAAAAGCTGATTATATTATATAAGAGAGATTTCATCAAAAATGCTGGTTAATTTTTGCCAGCAATAGTTTACATATATAGACTATATGCATATTGATATTTTAAACACACTATAATGAAAAGGTGTGTGCAACAGACTTTTTCAAGACAAACCAAAAGGAATTGTTTACTGATGATTTTAGAATAAGAAAGATACTGAGATTTAGTCAACATGAGATGCTGTTTTACAAAACATACTTTGAAAGATACGTTTTTCTACTTTAAATAAGAATTCAGAAATATGTAGTTAGCTATTTAATCACAGGCTATTAAGCAAATTGGTTAAGCAAAAGTGGAGCTGTCCTTCAGTACATGTGTAGTTGTGCTGAAAATGGACTTCTGACGTTTTTTAGGATATCCATTCCAGTTTCCACTGATGAATATATTGCAGAGAGGAAAACTTTAGAGAGTACTATATATAAGCAATAGAAATAAAGTTATAGAACACCATAGCAAGATGACTTAATTCATACTCACTGATCTGTCATCAAACAAAGCAGGGGTTACAATGACTATCTTCCTTGCACTACACACTTTTATTAAAAAGAAGTGTCACACTTAGAGGAACCACTTCTTACATTGCATCTAGGAATTAAATTACACCAGAGATCTTTTTCTCCCCTTTGTTCAAGGCCAAATCTGTTTTTCAAAGGAATGACAAATCCCTTTAGCCATTTATGAGAAATGTACACCAAATTCCCTACAAATTTTGGCTTATTGCATCAAGAAGTTCTAAGACTGAGTGAACACAGTGTTTAATCAATAACCCAGTTTTTCTCATACATTCTCACTATACCTTTAACCTCCTATAATAACTAAAATCATAATTGTAGAAAATTTGCTATTTATATCATGGAAATTTTTGCAAAGCCAGTTCAAGATCTTTTCTAGCGATCAAAAGAAATTAAAGACTTTTCGAAATAACATTTATATCTTCTGCTAGATGTAATTTCATAATTTAAATAAAATCAGCAGGAGTTTGAATTAAACATTTCATGTCATATTTATAAAATATGAAAGTATAAAACAGGTTAAATGATTTTACTGCATTTATTCCCTATGCTTTTTTTCCACTTTGGTGTGATCATTCAATTATTTTTCAAACATTAATTGGAACATATTGCAACATTTCATGTTACTGTTTTAAATTTAAATCTTATTTTCAAGGTAAATTATTGATAGATATTGAGCAGTACATGGTCTCTCAATTATCACATGCAAAACAATCTATAGGTAAATAATTTTTATTAATGTAAACATGCCAATTTTCCAATTACATTTTATATCAACTTAAACAGCATGCAGAAAATTAAATTAATAAGATGCTTATTTGTTACATAGACTATATAAAGTGTATTTTCAAAAAGTACTTAGAATATTTATATGTTTTTTAGAAATAATTTTCTATAAATAATGGTTCATTCATTTACTCATTAAACATCAGTTTTCACTTTGTATCTTAACATACACACACCATTCAGAAAATAATTTTGGGGAGGGAGAAGCCACTGCTTCCTAAGAGATGACTGAGGATGAGAAAAAAGCATTTTGAATGGAATGGATTCTAACTATGGTTTTGCACTTTGACAGGCACTGCCTCTGTACTTCTCATCAGATAGTGACCAGCCTAATTTAAGTTCTACATATTTTTTTTTCCCTACTCTGGTGGTCACATTCCAAAGGGAGAGCATGAAGGGTTTCATTGAAATCTTTTTATTACCTTGCAGATTTAAAAAGAGAAATGAAATCTTTCAGTTTTTGTAATCATAAAGACAGAATGAATATATTCAGTTTCTATCACTAAAAAGCAAATACAGAATAAAGAAGAAGCTCTTCTCTCTGGCTGCATTAACATAAGTAGCAGCACAGTGTAAAAAAAAGAAAAAAAGAAATCACTTCAGGGAATTGTGAAATGCAGCTGCGCTTACCTGAGCACAGACTCCAGGAGCTGAGAGCCAGAAGTATCATGCATACCAGCTGGATTTTCATTGCTGCCATCATCTTGAGCATTCTAGCAAGCCAAGTCCATAAACGTCACAGATGCTCTGAAAGGGGCTTTCTCTAGCTCTTCCTCTGCCTTCAGCTGACTTTGAAAGTGAACTGTGAGAGATGCTTTGGCCATTCCCTATATATACATGTAGAAGGATGATGTCATGATAGTACAGGGATTATCTTTTCAGGATGTGCCCTCCTTCATCTCTACCCCTCCTCTCCTCTCTCCACTTCCTCCTCCCCTTTTCCTTTGTCCCCCCACTCTCCTCCCCCACTTCTGAACTTCAACTGAAAGTGACATCTTCCCTAATTGCTCCGGATTTCTGACGCACAGGAGTCATTCTAAAGCAATTCCATATAGAGTATACTGGAAAAAACTTACAGAATCTCTTTTGCCCCATTTCCTCTCATTCCTGACTCCAAGAAGTTGTTATCTTGATTTTGTGAAGCATGGGATCTGATATTTCTAATATAAATACAATCTCCAGGATAAATGCATGAAATCAGTGATTTTTAAGGCTTGGAAGTGCTTAAGGAGTTGGGGTTCTTTTCTGGTAACCCACACTTGTGAGCAAATGTTTTGTGATTTAGGGACTAATATAGGTTTTAGATAATGAATGCTAGAAAAAGGGAGAAACTGGAAGATGATCAGAGAATCAGTTAAGATATAGGGATTAAGAAAAAATACAATTAAAAAAGAAAAACTAGGGGCGCCTGGGTGGCTCAGTCAGTTGAGTGTCCAACTCTGGCTCAGGTCATGATCTCACGGCTCGTGAGTTCAAGCCCCACGTCGGGCTCTGTGCTGACAGCTCGGAGCCTCGAGCCTGCTTTGGATTCTGTGTCTCCCCCTCTCTCTGCCCCTCTCTGGCTCATGCTCTGTCTCTCTCTCTCTGTCAAAAATAAAAATAAACATTAAAAAAAAAACAAACTAGTAGCTCTAAGGAATAGGGCATTATTTCCTAACACATCGTAAGTTTTTATTTTAAGTAACTGGGAGAATGAATTGTGTATGTTGACTTTTGGTTAAACGTCTTAGAAAAACAATGTCATGTCTATGAAATCCAACTGTAAAATATTTGTCTGTTAATAGGTGGAAATTCATATTATTATATCACTGATTGATGTTTTCTGATACTTTACTCATTTTTCTGTCTGCATTGCTCTGCCCCTTTTGGATTCATTGGATGCTATATCCTAACCTTCTTATAACCCCTTCTCACTGTTTTTCACCATTGCATAATTTTTTTCCCTGTTATAAAAGTGAAATTGTACTTTTGGAAAGGAAACAATCCTAAATAACCACTATCTACCAAAGTCAGATTTCTGAGACAGTGTCTTCACATCTTACTTTGTAAGCCACAATGATGCTCATTTCCTAGGTTCTCAGGAAAATAATTGCTTTTTTGAAGTGAAGCTTTCTTCTTGCATTAAGTATTTCAAGATACATGGAATGATCTGAAAATGGGACGCTGTTAGGAATGTGGATATTTGAAGGTAAAAGTGTCTGAGACTTGTTCACTTTTTAAATATATCAATCATGTAAAATGATAGACAAAAAAATCTGGATTATTCTCTGTAGAGAGTTGATTTATGTTTTATGGTATATTCTATGATAGTAACTTCTCTATTTTACCTTAAACTTAAGAAAAAGGGTAAATTCCAAACATTTAGAAATTATTTAAAATAGCAAGGAATCATTCATATAATTTAATGTTCAGGAATTTAACAATAGGTGATATTTCTATTACTTTTAATTTGCTTTATGAACTTACCATAAAACACAATATTGAACATGACTCACTTGAAAAAATTTCAATGAAGGGTAATTAATTGGCAAAGAAATGTGAAATGTATACTTCTAAACATTTGCTTTCTACCACAAGAGGGCGCAACAGAAATTTAAAAGGTTTTTTTATTTACACTTAATTAGAATTCTGAGGATTATATATACTTTCTTCTTATTATCTTAGTGATAGAATCTTTTAAAGCCACTTTGATAAAAAAAAATAAAGGAACTTTATATTATTGTTCTTTGTGTGATAGTTAAATTAGTTGTTTTATCTGCTTTTGGATTGCCAATACAAAGAATAATCTTTAAAAAATGTGTGATAGCAGCCTACTCGTAAGAAGGAAGTGCGATTCCTATTGTCCTCATGTGATTAATAAATAAAGCTCAAGTGAATGTTGACAAAATATCACTTGAATATAGCTGTAAATGTGAGAATTGTTTTAAATATATAATAAATCTGAAAGAATTGAGGGAAAATGTGTTAACTAATGTCAAATGATCCAAAATCAAATAGATGCTAGAAACTATTTTTCTTCTAAAGGAAAAAAAGATAAGTAAATTTTTGTGGTAAAATTATGATATAGATAAACTTTATCTGATCTCTATTTTCTCTATGTATCTTTTAAAAAATCTGTTAACTCCCCCCTTCCTTTTTTTTTTTTTTTTTTTTTTTTTTTTTTGGTGACTGTAATCAATAGAAAAAAAAAAAAAAAAAAAATTTTTTTTTTTTAAGGATGGGGGGG